TCGACGACCTCAGCACTCCTGTCGAATTTATTATATTTTTCAAATTGGTTTTTTTAATTGTCCAAGAGAGAGAGAGAGAGAGAGAGCGTGAGTAATAAAATAAAAAATGGTAAATATTACTTTGGATATACGGAACTGCATAGCGAGGCGGTGGAACGTTTGTGTGTCACGCGGGGAAATTTTCGTTTAACAGAGTAGTTGTAGCGCTAACGCGCTAAACGATCTAAACGGTACGGAGCTGTGTTAATTGGAGGGGAGTGCGTGGCGTCTTTCTCTTACTCACACGTTTCCTTCTTCGAGGTGGCGCGAACGGAAGGGAGAGAGAAGATGAAAAAGATGGATTAAAAAATTTTCCACGTGTTTCTTCTTTCGTTTATCGATCGACGATAGCGGATAAAAGTTGGAAGAAAACTTACCCGCGAGGCTGGGCCTCGACCTCGAGGAGATCGGCGGTAGCCGACATGTTCCTCCTAAAGGTACACCAGCCAATCGGTGACCACCGCACTTGCGGCAATTGCCGAGCTTCCGCGTGGTTCCGGTGAGAAATTCCGGACAGGAACATACTACCAATACTGGTGCTCCCGGGGGTGGCGGGGGCGGGGGTGTCATGAAGCCTCGTGGCTCGTGACCAGGCCTCGAAGACCGAACCGTACCGTACAGCCATGGATCCCCGTAGATCATTTGACGCGAAATCCCGCTTCCGCCGCTTATCGTTCCCCACCCCTTCCCCTGGGGGTCATCGGTGGCCTGGCTCTGCCGCGACAAGCCCAGTCTCACGCTCCACGACTTCTTCCCTTTGCTCAGTGTATCGTAATTCTGAAACAACGATGAATATCGAATCGTTATTATTATATTCGAATATTCGTTTGATTCAATTGGATAAGAATAAAAATACGTACGATCGTTATTTGTAAATTGATTGTTTCATTGATTTTTTTTTATTTAGGGGAAATAGATTTTTGGGACTTTGAAAATAAAAGAGAGGAAAAATAAATGTAGGGTATCGATGCTTGACCATGAGTTCGTTTGTCTCGTGATAAATTCTCTCGCGGTGATTATTGTTTTCTCTTCCGTAGTTGCGGTAAAAGTGATTGATGCGTTTCTGCAACCATGGACGAAACATAATGCGACTTGCATTCTCTATGGAATTTCACGATACGTTCTATTGTGTTGATATGATATATACGGACGATGTGTTGTAATTTATTGATTTTCTTTTTTTTTTTTTTTCTTACTATTCGTGATATCACATATCCTTTTTATCGATCGACGTTTAATTCATGGAATATTGTTGAATTTATTTTTTATAAATATTAAATTTTCTCAATTCGCGTCGAGTTAAACAATCCAGCTTTTGATTCATCGACTTCGAGCGATCGTTTAAGACAGCAACATTTTAGCCACGAGTTGTAATATTAGATGCATTATTACATCACAAGCGTCAACGTGTTAGTAATTAGCATAATGTTACTGCAATATCAACGTTCACGAACGTTGTACCAGTATTCCGACTGGGCATCGGAATACAAGAAAACAAGGTTTGCTTAGATATTAACATATATGTAGATTGAGCAATAGCACGACTGGTACAGCGTATACCGGTTTTCTTCTTGGTTCGAAAAAAAGTAGCCAAGTATATATATATATATATATTTTTTTTTTTTTTACATAAACATTTTTATATAAGACAAAAATAGGAAATAGGAATATGAGTTTTTTTCTTAAACGGCGTTACGAGATATTTTTACGACTTATTGCCTTACTTATTTACTTAGAATTAATAATCCTGTGAAACAGTAGTATTGATATTAAAAAAATTTTTAATGCTATTTATAGAAATACGTTCGAGGTTGAATCGACGTCGTTCTCCTTTTTTTTTTTAAGTTAATGATTGTTTCGCAAGTTATTAACTCGCTTTAAATTTGTTACATGCGCGTGAATCTTCTGGGTACGTCGACAAAATTAATATTCATCGCGCGTGGTTATCGCGAATAATTACAGTTGTTTATTATTGTTATTCGAAAAGGTGAATGTGCACGTGATGCTTTCGTTTTCAACAGGATATCCTGACTTAATAAACGGAATTTTCAATGAGTTACGTTACATTACCGCGGCTCGATAATGTTAACACTTTCGATCTTGTGTGTGTGTGTGTGTGTGTGT